TTTGGAGCTAAGTTGGTCCTGGACCATGTTATAATATTTCTAGTCTAAGAATTTTGACTGACAGTATTTTCCTTTAAATAAATTAATCTATACTAATTCCGTTGAACAGGATCTGTGGGATTATGTAAATGCATGTTCAAGAATTTTAATTAAATAACTATTAATCTTAAAAGACATAGGAAGTTTCAACCCGATAAATATATTACTATAATATTTATTAAGATTTGAATTCTACTAATATTATAATTAAATAATACTGTCTGATATAATAGTGATGACCTCACAAAAATTGTCAGGTTATGTATTTATTATCCGCAGAGTAGAATTCTTACTAGATATTTAGTAATTATGAATAACTCTTCTAAAAAGTAAGAATAAACAGAATCTATCTGAAAAAGAAGATAAAATACAGTCTCAAGTTGTAATTATAATAGGAAAATAGAGAGACAGAAAAATAAACAGAGAAAAAGTATATATATTATATATATCTCTAGAATAACTATATTATAAAGTAATGCTTTCTCTCAGTATTCAGATAGGCCTTATTAAATAATATTCAATGATGCTAGGCTGAATAGCATATTTATATCATAGATAATATAAGATAACTTATCTAGATTAGTATAGATTATATTCTCTGTTAACCAAGACCTGACAATAGTTACTACCCTCGGGGATGTAACTGATCATCCAGTCTATATAAATACAGCATCGCATGCGCTCCAGGCTTGTAGAACCAGTTTAATAAAATTCCTAAATATTAAACTGGGAGCCAGAGAAATTATTATTAATCAAACTCTAAAATTATTATTAAAAACTTCCCAGATATGCTCTGTATATTGGCAGAGAGATTATCTTTTCAGATCCTGGAAAATATAAATATATACTGGAAAGAAAAATTAAAAATCTAGTACTTAATTATATCTCTTAATAGAAAAAAAAGATATGAGCTTTATATTACTTTTAAATCTGTATATTATAAAACTAAGACCAGCATCACGCTGGTCTTCTAATAAGTAGCTATTAATATATTCTGAATAATATTTTATAAGAAAGAACTTGGCCAGGTATCCGCGCACCATCTATTTTATTAATTATTATAAAATAAAGATAATTATTAAAATAAGCTAATTTAGAATACTTTTCTTCTATTCTTTTTTTAAGGGCAGTGAGCTCGCTCCATTCACTTATCAGAGATTATCAAGATTTGGTTACAGAAACTTTCAGGATTAGATAGTTAAAACTAAGGAAATAGACTAACGGGCAAAATCTATAACTTTGCTTTAAATAATAATAAAGAGAACTTCTGCTAACGGAGACTGTATATTTAGTAATAATTTCATATCTAGTCAGATATCAATGTCATTGATATTCCGGGAAATATTAGTATCCTAAAAAGAAGTCAGGATTATAGCCTAGTAGTCAGTAGCTATTTCTTTAATATAAATATCAAATAATATTAAAGACCACCACAATCTTCTGCATATCTCGGTTTCAAGCAGTGGATATTTTAAATATTCCGATTTACTATAAATTCTTATGTATTGCGCTACGCGGACCGCAATGCCCAGCATAAATAATAAAGAACAAGAGTCTATAGAGAGCCTTATTAAAATCTGAAAGAGTTAGTTATAAATAAATTTAGCAGATTCTAGCAGATCTACCAAATATAAAAAGAATATAATAAAATAATTATAATTATCTGATTATAAAAATCCGCAATTTACCAATGCTTAGTAGCAGGCAGACTGGTACTTTGCCAGAAATACTAGTCTGTATAAACTGAATAGGATCTTATATTTACTTGAAATAATAGAAAGCACGGTTATACAGTAAATATTAAATATTAAAGCTTCCAGATTGGAATTCACATTATTCAAATCACTGATAGTTTTAATAATCTGGTTTTGTAAGGTGGGAGTATGTATGTATATAATCTTGAATATAAAGTTTATATTTTTTAAATAGATCTGTCACAGTCTAAATATCTGTATAGATCTAGAATATAAGAAATATAGACTGACAGCTGTCTGGCAGATATTAAAAAAATAAATTAATAGTTCTATAGACATGATTCCAGGCCTTTTTAACTAAATCAGAGTCTATATAATTAACTGTTGTATCACTCTTATCATATTCTAGTAGCTGTTTCACTCAGCATCAAATGGCAGAGACCGGAGAAATTAAAAAAACAGTAAAAACATATAACTTAGTTTATAGCATACTAAATGTTTCTGTGTAAGTATTTATTAATTACTTTCCAAATTTTTTATATAATAGAAAGAAAGTGTATTTTACCTCAGAGACCATTTCAGACTTAATAATAATTAAAAAGAATAAATTACTAATCTCTTTATTACCAGGCAGCTTAATTTATAAGTTATAATCAGATACTTGCATTGAGATATTATATCTGTCAGATTCCCTGTGAAGTAAGATAAATTTTATATTACTCTATTTAAGAAAATATTTATACTTATATAATCTTTTTAATAACTCTTTCTCTTTAAACTTATACTTTCGGCAACAAGAGAGCTGACTAGGTGGTATATATTATATCTAAAATTTAATACAGTTTATACAAGAAATATTATAATTATATCTAATCTTACGCTGCTGATATAAAATAAAGACAGATTTATACAGCACTAGCTCTATCTCTGTAAGATATAAGATCCAGTAAATACTCAGCATAGATATCTTAAATAACTAACTCATTTATGAACAACTGAAAAAGGAAAGAAAAAAATATATATATAAAAAAAAATAGAAGGAAGAGATATATTAATATTTAAATTCAAATCTATAATCTTAATCCCAGACTATAATACAGAGAAAAATTTCCAGTCTAAATCTGCAGAGTTCTAGCTGATTATTCTGGATATATACTTTTTAATATTCCTGGTTACTCTGATTAGTCTACTAACCCGTTTCTTTCTAACTTTAAATAATATATTAATTAATCTACAGGACTGATCGGTTATTACTACTACTATATCTTGTATAACCGATGAATTTAACTTGATAGCAGATATTAGTTAATATAGAAGTAGCTATATACTGACTTCTGCTTTATTCACTTCATCTTTCAGCCGAGCATATAAAATTTACTTAATAAAATAAATATTTCTAGTATTATTATTTATTTTTAAAGTTAATTCTGCTGTCTGTAGAGCTGCTCCAAGCTTAATAATATTTATTATCAGATGGGCAGTTACTAGACTTAGAAAAGCCGGAATCTTCTCAGATATTATAATAATTATAGTAATACTTATGCTGCTTTACAAGCGCCTGCTATTGATTTCTGTTTTCAGAGTAATTTTTAGAATCTCATCAGTACTTGGATCTATAATTAGTGGGAGGCTCACTAACTATATATTAAAAAAACTTGATTTATAGACAAGAATTAAAGTTTTACAATTAATATATAACAGCACCTGGTGATGGTGTCTTTTTATTAATTTTTTAATTAATAATTTTATGATATTTATTATCTTCTTCTCTTTCAATGTCAAGTCTGCTACAGGCACAAAGCTTGGATTCATGAACTATATAAAAAATTTAAATCTATTAAAAGTCTTATTCTTTATTCTATTAATTATATACTTGATTTTGGCATTATAATGGAACAGTACTAAGTATGCATAGTCTTTATTAATAATAATTAATCTATTAGTGACTTTTACAGCACTACTTCTCGTCTTTATTATCATGGAGGTTATTACTCCAGAGACTGTAATAATTCTAACTCATATAGTTCTGATTATTTAATTACTGGCAGCATGGTTTTTGTTTTTCTTATTAATAATACAATAATATCACTTATATATCATCTTAGTATCTGGTTCCAGGTCGTCAAGGACCTGTCTACAATAGATATAAGATTAAAAACCATTCCTCTGGTATTATTCATAGTTATTATTAGTATAATATTTATTATAATAATTCAAAGAATTAGTTATTATATTCTTATAATAATAACAGCTTCTCTTTTCTACTTTATTAATGCAGGTCTGTTATTAATTCTTACCCCGAACTCGAGTACAGGCCACTGGATTGGGTACCAGGTAATATTTAGTATTAATATTAGATATGGATTTTAAATGTTTAACTTAGCTGTACAAACAGTATTTTGATCTTCAGATATTTCCATCAGCATATCTTTTATAATCTTAATATAACAGATTGGGGGCTTTATATTCCTTGCAGTCAACCAGAATATATTATTAACTAAATTAGTATAATAACTCTTTAATATTACGGGCCTGGATTTGAATATTATTATTAATACTAGTGCCACTGGACTTTGAAGGATTATTCCAGATAGTATACTGAATACTGTTATAGATATATATAATTATATACTAACTTGTATTTTTATTATAACTGCTGCAGTTAGCGCCTGCGCCATGCTCGGCGCATTAGCTTTAAAGTAGAAGAGTATTAAAGACAGAACAGAGACTAGTACTAGAGATTCAAGAAATAAGAAGTAAGAAGAGATTATAAATAAAAAAGAAATTAAAAAGAATATAAAATAAAAAGACTGGATACTTTGAAATTTAGATACCAGATGGCTAGAGCGGTAATAATTATGTCAGTACCTATTTACAACCATAAAAGCAACCGGAAGACTCTTTCACACTTCTAATTTTTGATTAATTTTATTTCTATACATAGAATTATATAGTCAGTCGACGAGAAGTTCTTAGAGCCAGTCTCAGCGAGTGACATGGCCCCTAAAAGTTATATCTTCCTCTAGTATAATTCCCATATACTAACACATCTGATATTTCAATTTTATAAATAAATATTAGAGCCTATAAACGCTAGAGCTAGCCCTAACTCAAAATCATGTGACTATCAAGTAGCTTTTACCTTATATTCAGATAATGATTTCGGTTTCTACTGCACAAGTCGACCTCTATATCTCTGGAAGAGTGGGGATGGATGGTATTCTATCCATCTTAAAATCTGTAGATCTAATCTTTCATGAACCCTAATCATTCAAGAATACCAGGTGCCTTGCGAGAATCCATCAAAGAATTCTCCAGTCCTTCGGGTCTATATATAAAGATCTTACTATTCTTTTCAGAGCCATGAAGAGCCTTGCGTAGCAATTCTTCTGTAATATATCCCTTATAAGATAGAAAACTATCTCCCTCAGGATCACTGACTGTTTAGAGATAATTGAATCAATCCGGAAAATGCTTCTTAGACCCTTCAAGCTCGTCTTTAAGAAGAAGGTCCTGCTCCGTACTGACGCCGAAGATCAGATTAATTTTCGTCTGGTCATTGGGATCGCGAAGAATTCCCTGAATAAGTTGATAAATAGGCGTAATCCCCGCGCCGCCTGCAATTAAATGAACTTGTAAAAATTGGTTTGCGGTCCAAGAGAACCCCTTCAGCACGGCAGCGAAAGTAACCGTATCACCTGGAATAAGAGAATGGAAATAACCGCTCGCTTTTCCATTCGGATATTTCTTGACCATTAGCTCAATGGAACCTTTTCTGATCTGTTTCGTAGTGTCATTATTATTTGGTATGCTCAAAATGCCAGAGGAAAGCGACGAGTGTGGTACCTAAATCGCTGATTAGAGTATACAGTCAGAGAACAGGTAGCCATCGACCTTGAGGTCGTAAAATGCGAAGAAGAGCGGTTAGAAGATGTTAATAACTTTACACAGTATGATTTTTCTCGGGACACAAATTTAGAGCTATACATGTCAAACTTAATCCGCTTCAAGCATCTGGATCTGGAAACTCGAAGACAAATCATTTTGTATTATGATTGACTGTTTCGACACTTTGCAAGCGGAGTGTCGTGAGTCCAAACCACCCAAAAATACTTGGTGGCTCAGGTGATTCAGCGAAGGCTGTAGATAAGAAACATGGCCCAATTCCAGAATAAACTCCCATACTCACTACAGCAACTGTGAATCCAGTGACAACAACTGGACGAGACTTGAAAAAGTGAAAAAGAGATTACAACACCGCCATCCCTTCTCGAGTAGCTTTAAGAATTCAGAAAGGCAAGACAGGGCACAGCCAGTAGCAGTTAATCAATGTGAGCGTGGAGGAACTGTGAAATGCTAAACAGAATCAAAATCAAAGACTTTATATCTCATCACATAGAGCCTGCTAAACACTGATAATTTTCAAGTTCCCGAATCTGATGCGTGGCCAACAGGAGACAAAGCCCGGCAAAAGCCGACCGATGGGGAATGTGGAACCTTAGGTATTTGTAAACCGTTGGTTTTGCCAAAAGCGGCTCTGAATGTCCCGTACTCGGTAGCGCACGCCGAAGAACCATTGTGCAGCACTTCGTTTTTCTTCAGATGAGCTTCCATTTTATGTGGTGTTGCTACTAAATTGAGTCAGTGGCGGTTGTATTAGGTTTTTTTCCGACCTACTCCCACCCCACCGCTCCGGCCCTTCATCCGACTTTCTTTAAGGCGCCGGACATTAACACAGGAAGCAAAGAAACCGACTTGGTTGAATAATCTAACTAATCTGACAGGGCGAGAGAACCCTATAAAAAAGGGCAGGAGCAGGTGAAGAAGACAAGCGACGAAAGTACTAAATATCTCAATCTCCGGTTACATACTATAACCTCTTGTGACGCTGGGAAACTGTGTAGATAGACTAGCTAGCTTTGAGCGATCTGATTGGCCGAGCCCGAGGAGTATGAAGGCAGACACAGCACTTCTCCCTTCTCTCTCCTCTCCATTCTCAGTATTCGCTGCGGAATGCACTCTTTTCTGGAAGACTACACTCTTGTCACACCGCTCTTCACAATAGGAGAAATAACGAATCTTAATTTTCGGCAGAGTTATCGGCACCTAGGCCCAACTTAGCAGTCATTCCTTTCTCACCCAGTGCGACTATATAGTCATATCGCTCTGCCAAATGCCGTCCAGCATCTTCCTCAAACGTACTAAGCAGTTCCTCCCAGGTGACTTGCTGCACTCTTGCGGCACGAGCGAACAACTTCTTTTCATACTGCACAATCGCAGTATCTAGAGTGTATTGATTGTGGATAATTGCATGTGCTAACTCCAAGGCATCATACATTGCGGTATTGACACCTTCGCCTGCGAATGGCGTCATGACATGGGCGGCATCTCCCAACAGGGTGAGATGCCGTTTGTGTCGCCAACGAATGCCAACTGGCAGCATATAGAGTGGCCGATTGATAACGGTGCCGTTACAGTTGTAGATGAGACTCTTCAGCTCGGGGCACCACGTTTCGTATTCTTTGAGCAGAAGTTCCTTCACTGCATCACGATTATTCAAATCAATAGCACGGTCCCTCAGCCACGATTCCGGACGGCGCATGTAAGCATAGGTGCGAAGTGAACCATCTCCCTGGCGTTGTGTATGGAGTACATTGTCGTCACTTCCATACGAAAGGTACGAACCGCGTCCAAGCATGCGGTTCATATCGGGGTCAATTTTATCCGGCTGAACAATCCAAAGCTCAAGGCAAACCACTCCTGAATAGAATGGCGAAATTGTACTCAACGCCTGGCGCACTTTGGACCACGCTCCGTCGGCGCCGATGACAAGATCAAACCCCGTTTCGACACCGTGGGTGAAATGCAGTGTTCCGTCATCGCCAACGTGCTTGAGATGATGGTCCCAGCGGATGCAGTCATTCGGTACTGAATTGAGTAAAATATCGCGTAAAACCGGCCGATCAATCTCGGGTCTTCCTCTGCTGGCACCATTGGAGTTGTAGAAGACTACATTTTTGTAATCGGTGATAACTAGCTCCTCGGCGTCGTATGAGGCATGCTTCTGATAAATATCCCAGAGTCCTGCTTCACGGATAGCACGCTGTCCCGTTTGCGAATGAAGGTCAAGAACACCCCCGGTCACACGGCGAGTCTCTCGTGACTTGTCGGATTCGAAGATAGTGAAGGGGATATTGGCTAGGTAGAGTAGTCGAGCCAAAGTCAAGCCTCCTGGTCCGGCCCCGACTATTGCGATTGTGGGGCGCTTTTCGGGCTCAACGTGTTCCCCCATATTCGCAGAAGTTCTTGACTTAAATCGATGTGAGTGCAAGTGAGAGAAAGCTGCAGCAGTGGTAAGCTAGGCGCGATGATAAGGAACTTCATATATGCATGAATTGAATATCAGTCGGCTTTTTGCGAGGCCGAGTGCCGGAATAGCATCTCGACAACGCCGAGTACTCCATAGCCCGAAATTTTCTTTCCCAAGTCATTCATATGACCCATGTTCAGCACTAAAGCTGTGACCGAAGAGGATCATGTCAAATTTCCGCCTAAATCCTGAAACTTAGCCGCCTAGGAAATTTACTGCGATTACGGTGTAGGAAGCCCGCAAATTACCCCTCTTGTCTCATGGAAGCGCTGCTGATTGGTCACCCGCGAACCATTCTGTGATATGGGACTCAATGCGGTATGGCTTGGTTAAGGGCGATCGCTTGCTCCGGCCGGAGCTGGAATTTCATTTCAGATCCGAGAGGGTAGAGGTCTCATATCGGCTTTTGCGGGGTTGGTTCTACAACCGAGTGGCGGGATAGTCTCGAGCGCGAGAGAGGCCGAGATGTCGGTGGTCGGCGTCCGATGTGCCGACAAATCGAGCCCCTTGTACAATGTAACCACATCCAGAATAGATTCAGAACCACACTCTATGTCTAGATTTTCCTTGTCGTGAACACCGTTTTTTATAAGCATTTGAAGAGAACGATGATGGGAACAGTATATAATCTCTCGGTCGCCTTTCTAGTAGGGAAATCTTCAGAACGGGACAACAGTTAAATGATGTCCGATAAGTTTGAAATTAGTATGATCTAATAATGCTTTATACACAGAATATAATAATATGTTGGAACGTAATCTCAGTAGATTACTAGTAGTCGAGGTCACGTGACCCGTAAACTCCGTAATCTCAACCACTCCTTCCGAGCGCGCCTAGATAGAAGAATCAAGCGTTTATTACGACTTTAATATTGACCTAAAATGTCGTTTCAACATAATATAATGTTTATTCTGTTAATTAATAAATATATAGAGTTATAAATATTTAAAGATAATAATATATATTCTAGTAGGGAAATCTTCACAACGGGACAACAGTTAAATGATGTCTGATAAGTTTGAGATTAGTATTATGTTATAGCCCTTTAGGGTTTTAGGGTTTTAGGGTTTTAGGGTTTAGGGTTTTAGGGTTTTAGGGTTTTAGGGTTTT